AAAACAATTTTGGAAATCAAGCGAACTGGTAAATAAAAAGAAAAGGCCAGAGAGTAAATTGACCCTCGGAAATAAAGTAAAATATCCTGTTTCCGGTCTCTTTCAAAAAATAAATAAATAAATGAAATACAATTTTTTCTTCCATCGAATATCAAAACGCAAGAGATATTTTTCGTCGAAATTAATATTCGTAAATTAAAAAACAGAGGCGTACAATTAACTCCTCGAGGCAAAAAGAGAGAAAAGTTCTTTTTTATTTGCCACACACAAGCGGGAACAATTTCCCGTCAAACGAATTCGCTTTCGTCTAATATAAAAGAAGAGGCTGGCATCCTTGACGGCGGTGAAATAAAATAAGAGATAATAGATGAAAGCACGGGGCGGTCCATTGATCGTCCGCATTGAAACGACCGCTGAGTCCACCCGCGCGTATCTCGCGTTCGCCATGAATAGTGACGTCTTCGGGCATAGAAAACCGTTGCCTGAACTGTTGACGATATCAGGCCGGCGAAGTAGCAAGCGTTCCGCTTGAATTTATTCTCACTGTGCATTGACGCAGCCAGACACGGATCCTAAATTTAGGAATTAACCAACGGAACGCGGATGAATTTGTTTCCTCAAGTTCTCCGGGCTAACGCCCTTGGGGGTTGAATGCGAGAATTCCTCGATCGTGATTGACGAGCTTCTCGTAAATAGATGTTGTTGCACTTGCGAACATATTCGAAATTTACGCTGAAAGTTTTTTTGACAAAGGATTTGCACGAGATATTTTGATTTTCAACACGATTGTTTTTTGATACGATTCGCGAAAAATACGAAAAAAAAATACACAAGTACGTCAACAGTCAATTATTCGTTATGTTAATGATTATCATTAATTTTTTATTAAGAATATGTTCGCAACAAACATCACAGTCGTGTCTCTGATTATGATTCTAATGAAATTTCAAAGGATATTTTAGAACACGAGTAATATAAATTCACAAGAATTTACTTCTCAGTTTCGTGTGCGCGTGATTTTCGAACATCCTCTCGTGCTTTCGTCTATTGATTCTCCACCGTGAAAGTTTAATCATTCATTGGTGGATTATAAATGGGTCGTACGGCAAGGATGTTGGCAGCGGTACGCAAGAGACTGTTTGTTGAAACCGAGCCGGAGATATAAAACAGCCGAAAGATCTGACTTCGGCTTTCCGCTTATTATGTGAAGAAGGAAGGAAATTCACAAAGCGGGCAGTATCTTCAACGTGAAGACAAACAGTCGGCATCGAAGTCTTTAACTGTTAGAATTTCGATGAACACTATCTTGAGTATTCAAAGTGATGACTCTTGACTCTTGAGTAATTTCCACACGAACAATTCTATCCTGTTCTTCTGACAGTTCTAGGAGATATTAGCACGATATAATAATGAGCTTTCTCTTGATTATTTTGTATAATACGAAAACGTTCAGTTCGGAAATCTCGATACTTTTCAAACGAGGATACGAAGGCGAGTGTCGACACCCGTCAACCGAGTAGATTACGTCGCATCACGGAACGAACAGTTGACCCCGATCGGGTCACTTATGTTTCCGATCGTGCGAGTTTTACAACCTGTTCTGTTGACCATTTGTTCGAACCGATCGAGAGAAAAGCGGCTTAAGGCCAATGGACTTGCACTAATTCGCGCGACGTTCTTGTTTCAGGCGGCTAAGCATGCGGCCAACCCAGGAGGAGCTGGAGGAGCGGAACATTTTGAAAAGTAAGCCTCGAAATAACATTCAACCGCTTCATTGATTAAAATGAATTTCCTGCGAACTATTAGCTCGCCGATGAAAACGAAACTTAGCTTAATTAAATTCGAATTTTTAATTCGAACCTTCGGCAAAGTCAAACGCCCGATTCAATTTTTAAAGTTGATGCAATTACCGTGGTCAGTCTCGAAATCGTTCCGTCCATTTCAAATATATTCGATCCTTCTGGATTCTGAAAAATTTCTGGGTTACTTGCGAACGCGTTTACTATACTTGCTCTGTTACTTAATAGGTCTTTGGAATTAATTGTTATAAGAGTTGCTTTTAACAACAACAGTGAAACCGAATGGACAAAATAAAAGCGAGCTTTCGCTTCTGTCCGAGTAGACCTGGAGGAATACTATGGAGGATTAACGTAACACCTCTCCGAAAGTTATGCTAATATATTATAAGCGGCTTGTAATCCTATTACGTTCGAGTTTAATTCTTGTTTTGAAAAGAACACTCCCTGCCTTTTTGTGTAATAAAATAATTGACAGAAAACAAAGAGTATATTGCACTCGGCTTCGTTTTCAAATCTTCAATCGACGATTTCATAAGCTCAAACAATACACACATAATAAATAAATAACGTTTAATACGATTTTATTTCTTAGTACGTTTTACGCTAACAAGTAAAGTTCCAAATATTTCGCGTGTAACGAGCTAGTGTCAACACTGGCCGCGTACAACATCGATCCCCCGTGTTCTCGCGCGATATTCTGAGCAATACAATAAATCTGGGATGAAATACGATGTCCGTATAATCTATTCGCAGAGCAAAGTCCTGCAGAAGAGAAGAAACAAAAAGAGGAGAAGAAGCGGTATCTGCTGCGGAAGCTCAGCTTTCGACCGACCGTCGAGGAGCTCAAGGAAAAGAAGGTATCTCTCCTATTTACGTTTCTCTTGTCTCTGTGTGAAATCGAACACACCCCAAGAAAATCGGATCAATTTTTTTATCTCTCTATCTCTCTCTCTCTCTTTTTTTTCTTCTCTATGTCAGATTATCAGGTTCAACGATTATATCGAAGTCACGCAGGCTCACGACTACGACAGAAGAGCTGATAAGCCGTGGACGCGGTTGACCCCTAAGGACAAGGCAGCCATCAGGAAAGAGTTGAACGAGTTTAAAAGTTCGGAGATGGCCGTTCATGAAGACAGTCGACACCTCACCAGGTACGCAGCTCCTTTTTTTTTATTCGATTTGCATGGGCAATGTCACAAGCGAAACACTTTGTGTCTTTACTTATGTCTTTGAATGAAATTTATTACTTTTTGATAAACATCTTTTTTTTTCTTTTTTTGCTATTCAAATACGAAGATAATTTTGATTTTTATGTCGAAGGAGATTTATTTTTCAAATTCTAATCGGAACCAGATATTCTTTGAAAGTATCAAGAATTTAGAAACTCAGAAACTAGAAACTTGGATTTGTTCCTCTGTTCGTAATGTCCTTAGATGCTGTTAATTAATAGACCAAAAGATACCGTCAATTCCGTTGAGTCAAAATCAATACAATTAAAGAGATAGAGTAGTCCTTTCGTAAAATAAAAAGAAAAAAAAAAAGGAGAGAAAAACGCGAAACAGTTAGCAAACATCGAAACGGTCGCGGAGAATAAACAGAACAGAACGATCGAAATTAAATTCAATGTTCACGTAGATAAAGATCGCCATTCCACTCTAGCTCTCTAACCGGTCCATTAACTTCAGACTTCCCAAGTAGCGTATTTGTATTCTGCTTCGGTTGCAGGTTCCATAGGCCATGACAATTGCAATGTGTTGAGGTGCTACAGTGTGGTGCGGTTATAGGTGAAGGTGCAGTGTGGTGGCCTCGTGTCGAGGCTGGATAAAAAGAAAAAAGAAAAAAGAAAAAAAAAAGAAAAAGAAAGAAATAAAAATCTCTCGGTCGATCGTGGCTACCGAGAGTATTTTGCACGACTCAAGAGGAGAGGTTCTCTTTGCTTGAAACGCTCCGTTTGCACTGCAGGCGACGGTGACGGTGGTTCGTTCGCTCTTTATGACGTTGCTGCGTCGTGTTGTCATTTGTCGTCATCGTCCTCGTCCTCGTCGTCGTCGTCGTCCTCATCCTCATCGTGTCACGCATCGCGTCTCTTTCATCGACATCGAGAATCGTCCCATCTCGTCACTCGCACACGCATCGAGGTCATCATCCGTCATCCGCGCTGACGACGAACGTCTCCACGACGTCGACGAAGATTGTGATATAGGGTGACCCGTCCTACGGAGTCTAATCGAACGAAAGAAAAGGGGAGAAATGGGGAGAGGGAGGACCGTGTCGGGTCACTCGCTGATTTCTCTTCGTGAAAAAAAAAAGGCTCGTTCACGCCTGAGCTCACCCGACGCGTTCGTCAGAGCTGTTACGATGATAACCGTCGAACGTTCAGTCTGGCAATCTTTTTGACCACCTTCGAGCCGCGTTCTTTCGATGCCAAAATAAGAAAAGAAAAAGGGGAAGAAGGGAGATTGGTAGAAGAGAGAAGAAAGTCTCTAATAGAAGGCTAAGATTCGCAGATCTGTAGAAATTTGCAACTTAGAGAATTAAAAGCGTCGTTCTGTAATGTAATAAGACTCGATTTTTTGTACGAACGTTCGTGGAGCTTGAATCGTTTCGAGAATAAACAAGCCGATATCGAAGTTCCACGCTCCTCGTTGTCTGTGAAACTTTGCCAACTCTCCGAACAATTTACCGCCAAGCGTTTCACTTAACTTTTATGGAGAGTGCCAGATGTAAGAGAGAGAGAGAGAGAGAGAGAGGGAGAGAGAGAGAGAAAGGGTAGCTTTAAAGTAAACTTTCAAATAAACTTTAAGGTTATATACGAATTAAACGTACACATTGGAAGTATGTAGTTAGATCCATGAAAATAGAAAAGTAGAATGATCGACGAAAATAGCTCCTTTTCCGAGGTTCTCGAGAAAATTTTATTTAATAGGGAGAGAAAGAAGAAGAAAAAGAGAGCGTGAGCTCGCGTGTGAACGGATCTTTCTTATAGATTATAGAACATCGTAACTTCTCTTTTGCCATCAAGCTAGCTCGTCAGTGTCACCTGGCATTCAAACGCGTACACATGGAGGGAGAGAGAGAGAGAGAGAGAGAGAGAGA